TAAGATCCCAAAAGTTTTATCAATTATTTAAATTATGCTAAATTCTTATCACCTACGATTAAACACAGGTTAATAGTAATAGTAACGTCGCAAGTGATTTAATAACAAAGCTAGACACAACGCCGTTTGCAGTTCTTTTACAGAAGACGGCTTGGATGACGAGTTCCATGGATGACCCTCTAAACCAACATAAAGCTTTTGTTTTAAAACGACACCATCAAAACCATTCAAAAATACAGGCATTCAATTGACTCAATTAGTGTAATGTCACCGAGAATATTGCAACCATAAATACTATAATGTTAATGAAATAAATTCAATGACAGGTCATTGAATAAATTAAATATTACCTGTAATTATAAAATACCGACAAATTCACAGTGTTTCACAAATGTTAGATTTTGATTAGGTTAGGTTAGGTACACGATATAACCCCATAGTACAAAGAAAACAAGGTACGATGACTAAAGAATATAAGGACATGTAACGTTCATATACGGGCTGCAGCAGAATTTGTGACCTTAGACGCCATTCTTTTGATGGCAAACAATGAGTCATCATCTGGTCACCATCGACAATTTTAGCGATTTTTAATAGTTTGTGTGTAGTGAACTTTGTATAAACTTACAAATGGTGATTAGTTGTTCGGCTTTCAAGTGTAAAAGCAGCAGCGATAAGAAAGAGCCAGGAGTTACGTTCCATAGGTAAATAAACAGTCCGCTCCACCTTTTTAGCGTTTTTTTAGTTTTCTTATTGAATTCGATAATTATTTTTCTGATATTATATGTATTTGACGTGTACTATACGTCGATACTAGTTTTGTACCCTTTGTTAACATTTTAATACGTTTTTTTCGTAATTATTAGTATGATACCACCATAGGCGTAGTATACACCATAGACGTAGTTAAAACATTTATCAAAAAATATAAATATCTCTTCAAACAGCTAGGTTAAGAAAAAGATGTACCACGGCACTGTTTGGTGACATCGTCACAATTTGCTCTCGGGTGTTATTTGTCCTTGGATTCTTTAGTCATTGGTATGATTGATAGCGGCCCCAATTTCGTTCAGTTTGCACATATTACCTATGACGTCATATGCCATAAAAAAAATATCCATATTGTTCAATTGCCACTAATAAACCTGAAAAGACCAAAAATAGGAAAGAATTAGGACATAACCCCAAAAGTTATGTCAAATCATCGAGCTCGACATTTGAAAAATTATTTTCACATTAATTTATTATGTATCATCTGTTTGACAATTTGAAATTGGCCTGCGGAGCTTGCCGACCAATGGTGCCGTTTATCACCTGTGACGTAGTGACCTACCTGCGCAATATCATACCTTGTTTTCTTTGTATCATGATATAACCCTCTTCAGTATTCGACCTTTGCCTACTTTGGCTTACTTCGCGAATATTGTGTAAAGACCGTTTGAGTGAAATTATATTTACAACAAGCAATAAATAGAGAAGAAAGAGTGTCATGAGGATTGAGTTTAATGTCAGTTGCATATCTTGTGACATATTATCACTAATTGGTCTACTTTAATATTATCCTACCAAAAATATAATCTTAGATATTAATTCAAATCACTAATGAATTTGGAAAAAAATACATGACCATGCAAAAGTTTTTGACACTGGTATTAGATACTTTCAAATCTTTTTATATTAAAATCAAATAAAGTTAAAGATGTCAATCTTAGTAATTATTTGATTAAACTTGATTGTTTTGAAGGAGTATTTTTTTAAATAATTAATTTTTGGTAGGACGCAACTATTCACAATCACGAGCAATGAAAAAAAAACAGAAAAAAGCAAACAATGTAACTATTGAAATAACAAAATGAGAAGAAAATTGCATACTTTAGGTAAATATATATTCTTTAAAATCAAAAACAACTTGCAGTTTTATGTTAAAAAGTTTTATTAAAAAAATTATTTATATTATTTCATCATATAAAATGTATATATTTACATTTTTTCTTGTCTTTTTATCTATAAATAAACTTAATTCTAAATGAGAACATAATACTGTATTATGTTGTACTCAAAATTCGTTGATGATATTTTTATTGTCCTTTGTGAGTTTTGAAGCATACTTATCATAATACATTCTTTCGAAAAATATTTTAAAATTTAAAATTCGAGAAATTGTTTACCGAGTGTCACAATACCCTTGTTCCAATGGAATAATTGATTTGTAGATTTAAAGGTTAAAGACATAAAATTCAGAAAGATGACATAATGTTATCTGAAACATGTTAACTTTTAGAGCTCAGCAAAATGTTATCTTTCCGATAACTTTTTGCCGATATCATTTCAAAGCGATCTCAATGATAATTAAATGATGACTTTTCGAGAACTTGTGTAGGTATCTTTATGACATCCAAAAGATAACTTTCAAATATGTTTACCATAACCTTAACTTAACATCAGCTGATTTTTATAACCAATAATCAGATCAAAAAATGAAGCTTCGGTCATTATCTACAAAAGGGTTCTGACACTTTTTTTCGTAGTCCCAGGAAAACGGTTAAAAACGGCCCTAAAGGACCAAACAACGGTTTTTTCGCCAATATTGCCGAAATATGGCATGTAGATGATTTCATGATCGCCAAATGAAACATTGGGTTCTTAGCTAAAAATACGATCATGACACTTTTTTTCGAAAAGTTGTTGGTAAAAAGAAACCAATTCGACTATTCGTCATTATGCAATTTTCTTTTGTTTACGACATTTTCGGAAAATTGGGAGATCTTCGAGGCGGAATATCTCGAAAACTTTTAATACTACTTAAAAAATGATAAGAATCATTATTGTAGGTAATTAGCTAGGCTTTATTTTTTATTTCAAGAAAATTATTGTAAATTGCACATTTTGGCAAATATTTGCGAAAAACTAATTTTTCGGCCACTGGGGGCCATTTTTTCGGCCAAAGCCGACCGAGCACGATGTCACAATTTCCCCCCTAAAAGTACCCCTCAAAAGGTACAAGGTGGTCGAAATTGGTCTGTTTTAACAGAGAAAACCTACTTCCTGACTAAATAGAGCTAAACCGATATAGATGTCATAGGCTCGATTGATATTTTCACTGCCGACTGAGATACGGGGTCTTTATGAATTTTTTATCATTTGGAAAATTGCCCATAACTTTTGTATTTCGCGGAATAATAAAATTCTGTAAAAACGTTCTTAAGGCACTCTTTTAAGCACAATCCAGTGGCGTAGTCAGTTTTTTTCTATGCCTGCCCTTTTTGGTCACAAATAATGAAAAATATAATTTTTTAAAGAGAATCAGAGTTGGCTATGAACTTAAAAAAATGCTGGCGTTTAGCCCTTTTCAACGGCATAAAGTTAGGGGTATCTATTTCTAAGAAGGAGAGAAATATTAGGTTTTTTATCTTTATATCGAAGAGGGCCTCGATTTTGTGTTGACCTATGTGCCTAACTATTTTTTATCACAATTTAATATTCAATATTATTATTCATCTGCATAATTATAGACTTTTGGAAAGGAAAATGAACATTCTATATTAGTATTAGTAATTGCAATTGAAATCGATACAATAAACAAACAACAAGACTAAAAAACGTATTTTTTTGTGGCGAATATAGTTTTCTAAAAAAATCATCAAAGATGTTCAAACTGAGCACCTCTTTGTTGTATTCAACATATAAGATATTTATTGTGTATTCACAATAAACATCTTTTGCGCACAGAGTTACAACGATTTATTGGGCGAACTAGTGTAATAAGTTCAAAAGCTTGCCTAGTAATCTTCTGCAATTCTTCTCTCGTCTCAATGGTTTTTCCCTTATAGATAAAAGGTCTTTTAATTTCCCCCATAAAAAAGTGGAAAGGAGTTAAATTACAGGACCTAGCAGGCCTAGATATGGGGGCTAAGATATGGGGCCCTTCGTTCCAATCCAATTCTCCATTTAATAGTGCAGTTGTAACCCTGGCGTTTTAATTGTAAATAGTAGGTATATTAATATAGAATGTCGATTTACTTTTTGAAAAGTCTTTAATTATGGAGATAAATAATAATATAGAATATTAATTTGTGATAAAAAATAATTAGGCAACTATAGGTCAACACAAAATCAAGGCCCGCTTCGATAGAAAGATAAAAAACGTAATATTTCTCTCATTTTTAGAAATAAATACACATAACTTTATATCATTGGAAAGGGTTAAACGCCAGCATTTTTTTAAGTTCATAGCCAGCTATGATTTCCATTTAAAAAATTATATTTTTTATTATTTTTGACAAAAAAGAAAGTATAGAAAAAACTGACTACGCCACTGGATTGTGCTTAAAAAACTGCCTTTTTTACAACGTTTTTACAGAATTTTATTATTCAGCGAAATACAAAAGTTATTGGCAATTTTCCAAATGGTAAAAAATTAAAAAAGAACCCGTATCTCAGTTGGCAGTGAAAATATCAACAGGCGGTTTACGCCATTAAACGTGTCTCAGAAATCGAGCCCATGACATCTATGTCGGTTTTGCTCTATCTAGTTAGGAAATAGGGTTTCTCTGTTAAAACAGACCAATCTCGAGCACCCTGTACACAATCTGCCTGAAAAGTCCCGGTCGACGAATTCAACCTTTATTTACTGGACTACTACTATTATCGTTTCTCAAGAACGTTTAACCTAGCATCACACGTGAATCCACCTGGGTAAATGAAACATTTCATTGGAACATGGGTACGTACTTAAGATTTATCTCGTATTAAAACTTTTCTTAAGTAGATTTTTATTCTTAAACGAACACTATCAAAGTACGCAATATATCTTGGAAACAAAAATGAATGCACAAAAAAAAACTAAACAGAAACAAAGCATTTGGACGAAAAAACAAAACCAATCGTGATCAAACATAAACAGCGACTAAGAACAATGAGACTTTCACTCATGGTACTCATGGTACTAGCTCTACTCTTCGCATAGTCCGTGTTGTAATTATAATAGTGTGGTCGCTCACCTCGGGCAGTACGGACGTGTAGCTGAGCAGGAGTACTGTAACCCATCGCGTTGTGGGCACGCAACTCTACGCGGTAGAGGGTGTCCGGACTTAGGTATTCTAGTTGGTAAGTGGTGTACTGAACAGACTGGGGCTGGTGTTCGGTGCAGTCTCTTTCGCGGTACTGGCCTTCAGATCTATCCACCTGGAATAAAGATAAAACAAGTTGTAAAAGGTCTTTCAGTAAGTGGCCGCAACTAATATACAGGGTGGTCCGAACTGTATTCCGGAAATTTCAGCAGCATATTCTTATTGGCCAAAACATGGTTAGTTTCGGAGGTACAGGGTGTAAAAATTTTATTTTTATTTCGATTTTTTTTCAAATAATTTCTGAAATAACGGTGTCTGGGAGTTTTTTGACATGAGAAATTTAATTTTGATGTCAATCTGAGTCCTATTTGTAGAGGGTGCCACCTACATGTGTTTTAGCTGTTTTGAAGAGTAATAACTTTTCGTCCGTACCCGTATAACACTACTGGGAGAAAAAATATATATTTCCGTGATTTTTTAGATTATTTAAAATGAAAATAGTCAATATATGTCATTATTGACGAAAAATAAACATGTTGGTAAGTTATTTTATTGAAATGATAAATTTGTTAATGATATATACAAGGACAATCGATAATATTTTTGGCGAGGTTGAGCCCTAGACGTCATTACTTGGTCCGTACTCTTCTTTAGTTATTAATGACGCATATTAATTTTTATATTGATTAAAAATAATTTTTAAATGGTGTAGTTTCAAATTCGAAAAAATATATTTTTTTGGAAATATATTTGTGAGTCTGAAAATATCCTATCCTTTTTTAATCCTTCTATAATTAATTTTGACAAGTTTTACGTCAATGTTTAGTAAATTACGTCTAGAGATGGACCTCGGCAAAATGATTATCGATTGTCATTCCCCAACCGTTTTTGATGCTTTTTTTCGATCATACGGTATTTATCTTTCCAAAAAATCCTATATGAGTTTTTCGCCACTGGAAGAAAATCTACAAAATAAAATAGTTATTTTATGTAAACACTTCTGCGTTAATCTCAAACGGAAACTACTTGTCAGAAGTTAGGTTTATAGATATACAAATTTGCCTAACGAACAAAAAAATGCTTAACGTTTCGGAAAGTTTATCTCTTTCCGTCGTCGGAAGCAAAAAAATACAAAGAATAAAGAAAAAAAACTATTTAAGCTAGAATGGAAATAGTCAATACATGTCATTATTGACGAAAAATAAACATGTAGGTAAGTTATTTTACTGAAATGATAAATTTGGGAATGATATATATATATATATATATATATATATATATATATATATATATATATATATATATATATATATATATATATATATATATATACAAGGACAATCGATAATATTTTTGGCGAGGTTGAGCCCTAGACGTCATTACTTGGTCCGTACTCTTCTTTAGTTATTAATGACGCATATTAATTTTTATATTGATTAAAAATAATTTGTAAATGGTGTAGTTTCAAATTCGAAAAAATATATTTTTTTGGAAAAATATTTGTGCGTCTGAAAATGTCCTATCTTTTTTTTAATCCTTCTATAATTAAGTTTGACAAGTTTTACGTCAATTTTTAGTAAATTACGTCTAGAGATAGACCTCGGCAAAATTATTATCGATTGTCATTCCCCAACCGTTTTTGATGCTTTTTTTCGATCATACGGTATTTATCTCTCGAAAAAATCCTATATGGGTATTTCGCCACTGAAAGAAAATCTACAAAATAAAATAGTTATTTTATGTAAATACTTCTGCGTTAATCTCAAACGGAAACTACTTGTCAGAAGTTAGGTTTATAGATATACAAATTTGCCTAACGAACAAAAAAATGCTTAACGTTTCGGAAAGTTTATCTCTTTCCGTCGTCGGAAGCAAAAAAATACAAAGAATAAAGAAAAAAAACTATTTAAAATATTTAAATTCAACTATTCGAGAACACTTTAGTTTTTTAAAACAGATACGTCTACAAAAACCGTTGACGTTCTGTTAAAATGACATTATATCAAGGTAAACTTCAAAATTAACAATTACTATCTGATAACAATTCGTCACCCTAGAATAAGATTGTTCTATTTCCATTGTACCATTTCGATGAAACTGAGAAAACAAGGTTTAAAGTTTAAACTGGATATCCGTGAACACTATATACCAAAATGATCAAACATATAAATTAAAGGTATCAAACATATGTATTTATTTTACTTTTAGAAGCTTTATTTAAAAGATATTAGTGATTTTAGATTTGGATATAGAACAAATGTGTCTATTAGCTGTGCATTGAGCCGATTTTAGGGATATAGACCAAAATAAGGAGATATAGAATAATATAATACTCATTTTAAGCTGATTTATTTGTATTTCAAAATATTATTTCAACACAAAATAACTGAAGTGGAGACATTAAGACATTAACTAAAAACAACATACAAAAATATAAACCTAAAATACAATAGTAGTAATTATTCGTCTGCATTGTTTATTAAAAACGATCATTTTTTTCCGCCTATTTGTTTGGTATGTATAGTGTTAGAATAACTTAATCAGATTTTAAATCTGATTTTTAACTTTCATTGGATTATTTAAATATTTTTTTAGCTATATCTACTATTGATAGTACCGTATGATCGAATAAAAACTGCGTCAGCGATGGCTATGAAATGACTGTCGATGACATTTCCCATATAATTTTACATATAAAATGACAGCGATCTTCATTTCATAGCCATCGCTGTCGGCGTTTTTATTCGATCATACGGTATTAGAGAACGATTGAGCAGTCAATTGAGTTGAAGCAATTGGTTTCACGAAATTCCAAAGTGTGAAACATTCGAATTTGCTAACAAATCAGACAATCAGTGGTTTTCAAACGAACGATTGAGCAGTCAACTGAGTTGAAGCAGATGGTTTCACGAAATTCCAAAGTGTGAAACATTGGAATTTGCTAACAAATCAGGCAATCAGTGCTTTTCAAACGAACGATTGAGTAGTCAATTGAGTTGAAGCAGCTGGTTTCACGAAATTCCAAAGTGTGAAACATTCGAATTTGCTAACAAATCAGGCAATCAGTGCTTTTCAAACGAACGATTGAGTAGTCAATTGAGTTGAAGCAGCTGGTTTCACGAAATTCCAAAGTGTGAAACATTCGAATTTGCTAACAAATCAGGCAATCAGTGGTTTTCAAACGAACGATTGAGCAGTCAACTGAGTTGAAGCAGATGGTTTCACGAAATTCCAAAGTGTGAAACATTGGAATTTGCTAACAAATCAGGCAATCAGTGCTTTTCAAACGAACGATTGAGCAGTCAATTGAGTTGAAGCAGCTGGTTTCACGAAATTCCAAAGTGTGAAACATTCGAATTTGCTAACAAATCAGGCAATCAGTGGTTTTCAAACGAACGATTGAGCAGTCAACTGAGTTGAAGCAGATGGTTTCACGAAATTCCAAAGTGTGAAACATTCGAATTTGCTAACAAATCAGGCAATCAGTGCTTTTCAAACGAACCGATTTGCCGCCTATTTGACAAACGAACGTTTAGTGGTGCAATTTCAAACCAAACCAAACCAAACCAAAAACAGATACATACATTGTATGTTAGAGAGATACGGTATTTAATATGTAATATTAAAAATTGCAACTTAAATTTGTATTATTAGTATCTTTAAAAAAAATTGATAATTGCCTAAAACTAAGAAAATTTCGTATTTGCTTCAGAGGCAACTAGTTGCAAACTATTTTCAAACATTATCTAAAAAAACATTATTAAGAACTTGTAGAGTAGACCAAGAACATCTTATCAACTAAACTGTACAAAGTTTGTTCCCTTTGATGTTCCTCTTTACTTTAAAATGTAGTAAACTATTTTGCGGAGCGTTTGCGATAAAGTTTGCGTTAAATAACTCGAGCCGGTAATAAATTTCACCACTACAGGAAGTTTGTGTTCGCTTAAGGGAGAGTAGAATATGAAAACATGCGACCTAAACAAGATCTCCCAAGTTTGAGAAAGCAGTTGTTGTTTTTTGTAGACCTTAAGTCGAGTTTTGTCATGGAAAAATAATAGAATTTCATTTTTGTCGTTCAATTTTGATGTCATATTTTATAAGTAATACTGTAAACACAATATGGGCACCTGATTAACCTATCAACTATTATATTGGCTCACGTGGTATATTTTTCTTATATACAGGGTGGCGCCTTTCATACGCCGTGGAAGCTCCAAGGAGAACGGTAATTTATATCGAAATGAAATTTTGGCAGCATATGTAGGTTAACTGAAAGCATTTTATAAAAATATATAGTATTATACAGGGTGTACCCAAAAAAAGTTACACATCAAAGTTGTGTTTTTTCTAATGGAACACCCTATATATTAATTGATTTTCGGATTTTAGTAAAAAAACAAAGGTGAATTTTATTAAAGAAGCATATACCTAAAATCTAAGGATCTTGACATATTTCACATTTTGTGAAAATGAAGAGTAAATTTTAAATTTGGATGACAGGTACCTAAATTTTAATTGACCTTTTATAGCCTGATATTTAATTACAGTATCCACTGTTTGTTAAAACAAATTGACATTTGTCCCGAAAAGTTATACAGGGTGAGACAAAATTAATATGGAACATTAGTCACTTTTAAAAGCAAGTTACTCCTTTATTTTAAATGGAACACCCAGTATATTTTTCCGGTGTTCGATGGGGAATTTATATATCTTCAAAATATTATTAAGGTTGCCCACCCCTCAGACAAAGATTTTCCCACATATTTTAATTTATATGATTTTGCGTCAGTCAATCTTTATTACTTGAAACAATCTAGGTGGCTGTGTGATATTACCTTTTGGTAATTTAACAAAAATTAAAGATTGTAGAGTAAAATACTCAAGGATAATAAAAAGATACACGTTTAAAACATATTTTAATTATTACAGAATTAAAACTAGATATAAACCTATAATTATGTGACAGAAATTAGCTAGATGAAATCAAATGCTCCAAATGCTTCCTTTCCTGGTTACTGCTTAAAACGATTGCCTTTTCAAAAGGATCTTTTCATTTTAAAAGGCATATATGGAGTTCTACCTTGAAAAGCATCTACAATCATTTCTCTCATGTTGTCGACAATATAGTTGGTCGAGTTTTGTATACACTGTCTTTAACATATCCCCATAAAAAAAACAGACTAGATAAAATCAGGAGCATTTAAGTATTCTATTAATTGGTGAATGCACACTGCATTTTGCACTGCATCCACCAACTAATAGGATCATTTGTCAAGTTTGCATTTTCGAGAAATTCAGTTCTGAGAAATTTGTTTGTTTTAACTGACATAAAATGAAACTGCAACTAGTGGTTAAAGTTGGACTAATTAGGCAGCTATATTGAAGTAACGTAAGACATATCACAGCCACCTAGATTTTATGAAATAATAAAGATCTACTCAGATCAAACCATGTAAATGAAAATATCTAAGAAAATCTTTGTTTGAGGGGTAGACAACCTTAATAGTATTTTAAAGAGACATGAATTCTCCATTGAATATCGGAATAATATACTGGGTGTTCCATTTAAAATAAGAGAGTAACATGCTTTTAAGGTGACCAATTTTCAATATTAATTTTGTCTCAGTATTTATTATTATTTTTTTCAATATTGTTTTGTCTCACCTATAACTTTTTGGATCAAGTTTTAATTTGATTTAAAGTACAAAAGTTAATTTAACTACATATTAGGCTATACCGGGTAAATTCCAATTTAGGTAGCTTTTATTGTAATTTACAAATTGTTCTTCATTTTTAGAAAATGTTAAATATGTCAAAAACCTTACATTTTAGTTATATACTTCTCACCTTTATTTTTCTCCCAGAATCTGAAAATCAGTTAATATATAAAGTGTTCCATTACAAAATATACAACTTTGATATGTAACTTTTTTTAGGGACACCCTATAGAACTCTCTATATTTTTAAAAAATGCTCTGAATTAACCTACATAAACTCACAAAATTTCATTTCAATTCAAACTGTTGTTCTCCTTGGAGCCTCCGCGGCGTATGAGAGGCGCCACCCTGTACTGTACAGTATCATAGGCGTAGTGAGTTTTAATTTAGAGTGGGGCTAAAAATATTAAAATAGGTACGAAAATATGTCTTATAACCTTATACGTTGTAGAATGTAGAATGTATGTGAGGGGGTTATTATTAACCACATTTATATGGATATTTGTGGTGTTGGTTGCTGGTTGAATCGATTTTATCTATACTTTATGAGGTTAATTTTACCGCATGGCAGATAATTCTCGTTTATACCTTGTTAAAAATGAAAAAAACATGGTATCTATAATATTATAATACTCACCACACAGTGTCGAATGTCGTAATAGTCTATCGGTTCACCATTATCAGCTGGAACATTCCATCTCAGCTCGAAATGATTCGAATAAGGACTGACTACTTCTTCGTCTATCGGTAACTCGTCACTGACCACTAATGATGGCAGCAAAATTCGCGGTTCCGCCGGTGTAGACCTTCTGGGCATTGTGATGGTCTCTCCGTTAATCCATGGACCTATTCCTACTTCGTTCCTGGCCGCAAATCGGAAATGGTACGTCACTTCCGGTATAAGGTTCTCCAGAATATATGGAGCACCTGGAAGAGATTAAATCAGTATTGGGGGAAATATATGACTGGGCGTAACCAAAGACATCTAAATAAAGGGAGACAAAACAATTTACATTTTATCGCGATCACGAACCGTGTTCCGCAAAAATCGATGATGACAGATTCACACGGTATGTGATAGAATACGGTTCGAGTTCCAAATGTTGTTATTGTTATTAATGGTTTTGGGTACCTATAGAAATGTTAAACTAAATATTTGTATAGGTATATAACTTTAATTAATATACATAGATTGTACCAGGATTATACCTTTAAAATTATTTTTAGTTTTCTGATTAAATTATATTAGGAAAATTACAATGACAACTAGCGGCATCGCTGTGGATTCATCTTTACTACGAAATTGTCGAAATCTGTAGGAATTACGCTGACATTTGACGTTTTCATTTGTTTTCATTCAACTTATATTTGACAGCGCGCCGTTGTGAGTTTTCTTCGGTAGTTTGTATATGTTCTTCGGTAGTTGAAAGTTTTTGTAGCTTTTGAACAACTTTCTAATAATTATTAGTGTTTATTGCAAAGAAAACTATTAATTTAAATTAGTTTTTAACTATCTCCGATGGTTCGCCAGTGCATTGTTTCTTGGATAGATTCTAACCCGGAATTGATATTTCGACGGTAAGTTTCATTACGTTTTTTTTACCTTTAGCCATGCTTACAGTAGCGTATTTAGATAATTTTAACTATAAGATTATTATAAAAATACGTATATTTTCTTATTTGTTGGCGCTTTCGATTGTGAAATTAGAGTTACCCTCAGTTACACCTCAGGCAAAACTAGTTATAATGGAAATTGGTATGAGGCAATCCCAATTAATTTTTGATAAAAAAAAACATCACGCCACCGTCACGCCACTGATAAAGCCAAATGACAGAAAGATAGACGAAACTCAACCGTGTTGTCATATTTATGTACCCATCTCTTTTTAACTCTCATAAAAGTGTCAAACCATGTATGATTCTAAAAAATTGAGTTTCATGAATTGAGTGTTCTGTCTACCCATGGTGCGTATTCATTATCCGCACGAACGAACGAACGAACGAACGAATGTTCACTAGTGGTATGGACGGGGACCGTACTATAGAACCGCACGAGAAGACCGGAGGCATTTGTTGGCGAACGCCTTTGATGTACCGACTCGAAACGGATGGTCGAGCGAACGAACGAACGAACGGCCGCATGCGTTCGGTCCCCGTCTAAATAAACCGCACTTTCATTCGTTCGTTCGTTCGTTCGGATAATGAATACGCACCTTATTAGATATCTTTGGGAGTAACGATACTATATCATTTTAACAAAGTAAGACATACATTTTGTGCGATGAAACATATACCTTATATGATATGAAATTTACAGTAAAAATTAAAAAATATCCTTCTATAACTCCAGACAGTAGCGTTTTGTAGTGCCAGTTCTGTCTACCGGTATAAGTCTGTCCAACGACAAAATCCTTGACAGTGATAGATGTGTCTGTCATTTTAATTTCAAAGTAGTTTATTTTATTTTAGAAAGAAATAAGTTGGTACAATTGGAACGCATAATTAATATATTTAAATTTTGAGTAACAGGTGATTACTTCAAAATATTGTGAAAAAAATCTGTATAAAACTGAAAAATCTAATCTTGGTTAATTAACTTTAATCTTAATTTTTTCTGCTAGTACTAAAATGTATTATTTACCTATCGTGTGATGTTATTTTACAGATACTCCAGTTTTTGGTACCATATAGATACGAGATGATATACAACTTTATTTGTGGCTAATACAACACTCTGGCCATAGTCTCTGACAAACTTTGTTTTTGGCGGTCTCTGGGCACCGAATATTAACTGTAAACTATGGTCTGGGTCAACACTTAATTTTCCCTCGAGTTTTCCTCCACTTAATTTTAAAAAACACGAAACACAAGTAACAACACAGTCCAAAATGCAAAATGCAAAATATTTATCATTTCTATTTGACACAAAATTATAACCTTAATTTGGCAAAAGTTTGACAACTCTCAAAAATCTTAAGTCGAGTTCATACGCATCGGAGTCCGTTTGTCGTTCATCGTTGCGTCAAACCAATGATATTGAAATATGATCTGTCGTTTTTGAAATAAACCATAAAACTGTTTAAAAACAACAAGAGACGACGCATGGCGTATTTACTTATAAACCCATCCATAGTTACCTTAAAAAATATTAGAAACTTTTTTTAGTGAAATAAATGGATTGGTGTGGAAGTCATCTGCTTTTTTTCTGTCATCGTCTGTCGAAATCTTACCTGAGAAAAAAAACAGAGTATATGTTGTATCTGGATCAGATAGTACTCAGTAGGGTGGGCCGAAAAAAGCCCAAAATGTTTTTTTGGAAATCTGAGTTGGCATAGTAAAAAAGTGGTAGGATAGGTAAACGATTAAGGCAAATTTTTTTTGAGAATTTTCAAAAAAAATTTAGCCGCGCCCCAGGAGCACTAAAAAATTTTTTTTTTCAACTTCAATATTTTGACCTGGAATAGTGTAAAAGTGAAACATACTACCTTAGTTATATTGAGGAAAAAAATTGGAAATAATATTTTAATATTACCAGGGGTGCGACTAAATAATAAAATATTTTGACCAACTTTTTTTCCTGTAATGAGGGAGCCTTTATTCATTAGATTTTTGCTATTCAAGAAAGAAAAAAGGCAAAAGTGTAAAATCTATTCACACACACCTCATTCACGCCGCTTCGAGGCCAGACGAGATCGGATATCTCGTGAGTAAGAGTCGATTTAGACACTTGTCAAGTCGGTAGGCCATTGACCATGATATGGCCGAGGACCGCGGTTCGGATTCCGCGTAAACAAAGTAGGCCCAGTCCAGATTAGCTCTGGCAGCAAAAAGGAGACGTTAACTGAAATCTTTACTTTAATCTTTTTCAAACCTAAAAAAAATTCATTTACACCCCCGGGGCGCGGTTAATTTTTTTTTAAAATTCCAAAAAAATTTCACTTCATGTTCTAACCATATTACAACATTCTTTTACTATGCCAGGTTAGATTTCGAAAAATGATTTTTTCTGCCCACCCTAGTACTCAGATACCCTATGTATCCACTGCATTGTTATTTTTTATTTTGGTAAATATGTGAATATTGGCCAAAACTTTTTAGATTTTTCAAAAATGTCTTTATACAGGATGTTTCAAAAAACATGTCCCATCTCCTCGTGAGGAGATTTACTACGTAAAAGTATATAAGATTTATTTTTTTATAGACACAAGTCTGATTCTATTTTGCTTCGTAGCTTCAGGGGTCTCAGTTCTTTATTATAACTTTCTTCTAAGTGCTTTTAGCTATTTGAATGAAATTTTGAGGGTAAAAATTACTGTAAGTGCGATATATTTTAATGCTTTATTTATGACAGATTTACCAGTGACAAACAAACACAAAAAAACTATTTTTAGAAGTTTTAATTAACATCCTGTAACCTTACGCATTTTTTATGTTTATAAGAGCATTTTCTCGTATTTTTTGAAGAGGAATCAATTACTTATTTAACACTTTAACCGGTTAATGACTTTAAAAAAATAAATGTTGCTATTAGACTTGGATTAAGGTAAATTAATAAAATTGCGTTTGTCTCTCTTATTACGGAGACTAAATTCGACAAAATATTAAGAGACAACTTTTAATCGGCATTAAACGGACTACATTCACGTCCCTGTTGCCGACACTTTTTAGCATTATATCTGCCGACACTTTTTAGCATTATATGTAGCAAAACAAATTTGGAAGAAAATTATAATAAATCGAAAAAAAACTTAACCCTCTGTAGCTACGAAACAAAGCAGAATCGGATCTATGTTGATAAAAAAATCTTATTTTCACATGAGGAATCTCCCCACGAGAGATGGTACATGTTTTTTGAAACACCCTATATTGTGATGGACAAGTTATTTATTAAACAGTTATAGAGAAAATTATTATTGTGATTATATTCCTTTGAAACACAATCTTTAATATACAATTAATCAGAAAATCACATAACATATTTTAGTTAAACATTTTCTTTAGAAATTAATTGAAAATATAATATACTGTTCTGGTAGTGCCTGTATAATAATTTAATTATGTTCACAAGACTATGATAAAGCACAAACTTGTTGAATATATCAGTGTACTTGCCCTGAGGTGAACTTCAAAGTTTAGTAAAACTTACCCTTTCATGTTGCTCAACTCTGTAACTATAATCGTTACGTCATAAACAGAAATTCATCTTAAAAAATGTCGAATTTTGTGTATAAAAATAAGATATGTAAATAATGAAACAATTAAGTAATAATATAGTCAATAACATTCAAAAAGTATAGATCATATGAGGAAAAATATGACTGAATCATTGAAAATGAATTACAAACTAAAAACAGTAGTATATTGTTTTATTAGGAGTAAAAATGATACTTTTTGTGGCGAGACTGTACGTGACATTACAGGTGAGGCAAAAAAGTCATTTTTATTCGGAATAGAATATTATGCTATTTTTTTAACATTGAAAATGTTTCTGTTATCCTATGTAAGGGAGCCCAAATCGAATTAAAATGCTACATTTGCCACACCATGACGTCATATATACAAGGGTATAGGAAATCATTACATCGCTAATTGTTTATTGATATATCTTTATTAGTTTAAAAGCAAAAATATGGGGTTTGCTTTGATACCTTGTCAAGACATAAGCGAAACTTTTAAATTGTTTTTTTTTTCATTTAGGCCTTCGTTTTTCGTTAAATGAAAGTTATATTAAAAAAAGTCTATTTTTAAACCAAATTTTCGCATGATTGAAATGAGTTATTCATGTTTAAAGTTTTTTTTGGTCATAAGCGCTAATGGAAATGTTTTTTATTGTAAATAATTATAAAAAATTACTCCCTACAAAGACTTTATTGTGTACTGGATCAAAAAATAAGTATTTGTTTTCTATATACGGTGGAATTAATATA